TGAATTGTATGTGAGCGAGGCACAGCAGCACAAAGCCAGCAGCTCACTCTCTCCTCCAGAGTCACAGGACAAAAGTCCGGACCCCAGGTGATGCCTCGGGAGGGCCTGGCTGAACTAGGGTCTTTCTCAGGTCTCTGTTTGGCTGAGACAAAGCCCATTCAGTGACTGAGGGCTGGGTAAGAACTGAGACAAAAGATGCCCTGATTTGGTAGTTGATACTTGAAGGAAGCCAGAAAGCCAGGAGATGGCCAGGAGGAAAGAGCAGGAGGAGTAAGAATTCCAGGCACCGGAAAATGCCTGGAGTTAGGAGACAGAGTGTCTTGTGGAGGAACGGAAGGGGGTGTCACTGAATCCCCAAATCTAGGAAGGGGAATCAGGTGTAAGCAGGCTGGAAAGGGAGGAAGGGGCCAGGTTATGACAGGCTCTGAACGCTGAGCAGAGGACTTGCTATTTGATTCTGGTAGTGACTGAATGGGGAATATAGTCAGGCCTGAATGGAGGATGGATTGGAGTGGAGGGGGACGAGAGGAGGCCAATCCAAAGGCTCTCAGTGTCATCGGTCCCCTTCCAGAACCAAGGACCACCACCGACAACAGCAGTCTCAGTAGTCCAGGCTTGAGGAGATGAGGGTGGCTGCCACGTCAGGAGAGAAGGGGCCGCGTTCAAGGGCTGTTGTGATGCATGATCAGCATCAACTTGCTTGCCTTCTCAAGGAGTGGGGAGGCAGAGAATTTGGAATTCAAAATTTTTTTAAATGAATTTAAAAAAACTCTTTACATGTAATTGGGAAATAGATAATGAAATAAAAAAACATATTTTTAAAAAGAGTTGTAAAATTAAAAATGACCTAACTTGGCCACTGTGGAGTGAGAGAATAAGGAGTCATGGATGATGCTTAGGTTGCCTGGGTGAGTGGGAGGTGGTGATCCTTTGACAGTAACAGGAAATGAGGGGGTATGGGGTGTTCAGGAGGACTGGCACCCCTGGGGTGGGGCTGTCAGGGCTGATTTTCCACCTTTGGTGTCCACCTGGTGTCACCCAACTCTCACCCGTGGTTCCAAGAAGCTGTAGCATATGCAGTGGCCGCATTCTGAAAAACTGTCCTGGCAGATGGGCCAAACCAGACAGATGATAATCAAGGGGTGTTACCCATTGGTGACTTAGGGGGACGTCTACCCCAAGCACGTGTGAGGATTTCCCCTCCAGCGTGAATGAGAACAGTTTGTTCCAACAGCCATGAAGGCGGTTGAAGCAGGCACGGTGAAGGGCTTAGAGCTTGGTCAGACATGGAAGATGCCAATGCCATCCGCTGCATCCCAGGCCATCGCCAGCTGTCTTAGCCTTTGTCCTGCCACTGGACTTTGATGGCTCTGGCAGAGAGAGTGAGGCTGCCAAGCTTGTGCAGCTCTGCTGCTCTTCAATCCAATTCAAGTTAAAACATCACCTTGTCAGCGGTCCTCTTCAAAAACGAAGGATGAACAACAGGAAATTAGAAAGAGAAGACTCATCTTCTTGACTTCAAAATCTGGCCTCAGACACTTCCTAGCTGTGTGACCCTGGGCAAGTCACCTTACTCTGTTTGCCTCAGTTTCCTCATCTATAAAATGAGCTAGAGAAGGAGTTGCAAAACACTCCAGTATCTCTGCCAAGAAAACCCCAAATGGGGTCACAAAGAGTTGGACACGACTGAAAAAATAACCGAACAAGGTCTGGGAGGGTAGAAAATGAGCTTAGCTTTGGACGTGTTGAGTTTAAGACACCTACAGAACATCTAGTGCTAACTTGTCTAATTGACAATTGGAGATATGAGATTGGAGGTCGGGGAGAGGTTAGGGCTGGACAAATAGATCTGAAAGTCATCTGCATGGAAATAATATTTGAAGTCATGGGAACTGAGGAGATTACCAAGAGAAACAGGGAGAAGAGAAGAAGGCCCAGAACAGAGCCTTAGGGAACATTCACTGTTATCAGGAAGTTGTGGATGAGACCCCGTGATGGACACAGAGAAGAACCAGTCAGATACGTGGGAGGAAAACCAGGAGGGAGCAGAGCCACCAAAATCTAGAGAGAGTACCAAGGAGAAAAGGGTGACTGGCAGTCAAAGGCATCGAAGAAGTCAAGAAGAATGGGTGTTGGGAAAAGTCTGTTAGATGTGGTGATTAAGAGATTTGGAGAAAGCAATTTCAGGTGAATGATGAGGTTTGAAGCCAGACTGTGGAGTTAAGAAGAGAATGAGGGAAAGGACTTATTTAAAGCTGAACTGTTTATATTCCTACATGGAAAGATGATATTGGTAACTCATGAGACCTTTCTCAGCATTAGGGTAGTTGGAGGGAATATATATATATAGACAGGGGGCACAGGGTGAACTGCATATAAAGGGATGCTATGTAAAAAATAAAATTAAGGGGTGAGAGAGGATTGCACTGGGAGAAGGAGAAAAGAGGCACATAAAAGAAGCAAGAAAAAGCTTTTACAGTGGAGGGGAAGAGGGGAGAGGTAAGAGGGAATGAGTGAATCTTACTCTAATTTGGGTATGGAAATCTATCTTACCCTACAAGGGAAAGGGGGGGAATAGGGGGAAAGGGAATAAGAGACTGGGGGGGGGAGGAATAATAGAAGGGAGGGCAGATTGGGGGAGGGGAGAATCAGAAGCAAACACTTTTGAGGAGGGACAGGGTCAAAGGCAGGGGCGGGATAGGATGAAGTGAAATATAGTTAGTCTTTCACAACATGACTATTATGGAAGTGTTTTGCATGACTCCACATGTATAACCTATATTGAATTTCTTGTCTTCTCAATTAGGGTGGGTGGGGAGGGAGGGAGGAAAGGAGAGAATTTGGAACTCAAAGTTTTAAAAACGAATGTTAAAAATTGTTTTTACATGTAACTGGGAAATAAGATATACAGGCAAAGGGGTATAGAAATGTCTATAGTAAAATAGAAGGGGAAGGGGATAAGAGAAAGGGGGATGATAGAAGGGAGGGCAGATTGAGGAAAGGGGTATTCAGAATGCATGCCATCTTGGGGTGGGGGAAGGGAGAGGCGGTGAGAAAATTTGGAATTCAAAATCTTGTGGAAGTGAATGTTGAAAACTAAAAATAAATTAATAAAAAATTAATGTGAAAAAAAGAGATAAAACTTAATTTTTAAAGAAAAAAAGAAGAGAATGAGGGGAGAGTGGCAGAAGTGGCATCTGGGTGATGAGATGAGGGACAGGGAAGGAGAGGGAGCTCTCACTGAATGGCCTCAATTTTTTCAGTGAAATATAAGGCAAGGTCTAGCTCAGAGGGTGGGGGAGTGAGGAGGAAGGGGCTTGAGGATGGATGAAGAGGTTTGGAAAAGCTGTTGTGAGCGGGGACAATTAGTTAGGGAGGTGTAAAGGGATCAGGCTTGGGTACCACAGATTTGCAAAGGGCCCAGGCAGGAGAATTCTGTAATTTCTCCACCCTCATCCAACAGCACAAGAGCAGCACCAAAGACAGTGGGAGTGATCTAAGGCTGGGGAGTGTAGGGCGAAACTGGTGATGGGATAACTGGGCAAGCGAGACTTGAAGGAAGACGGCAACCGGTGCCCAGGGGATGACTTGGGTAAGGACTCAGAGGTGGGAGGATTGGAAGGAGTCCTCAGGGTGAAAAAGAGGGCTTGGGGCCTCAAAGGCCGAAGAAGAGGTGGTTGACAGGACAGCAGATGGTCTTAGCCACTCTGGGAGCTGAGAGAAGGGCAGGGAGGGTCAGCAGAACACTCCACCGAGGCCCACGGCTCCCGTCCCCACCAGTTGGACACTGGCTTTGCCTCTCATTCCACTGTCACTGACCGACTTGAATTTTCTTTCATTGAAAAAAAGGGGGTATTTATGTAGGCGTTAAACTTGGAAAAAGCCAATGATTTTGGCCATAGCCTCAATGCCCTCTTGAGAAGCCTGCACTAGGTGGGTCCTAGACATGGCACATGACGTGGTGCTGATTACATCAAGCCTTGGTCTGATACAAAGCCTCCCAGATGAAATCTATAATCCCTGTAAGGGTGGAGGTAATTAGGTAACTCCTGCAGACAAGGTGATGACCTTTGAGGGCCCTGAGCCTCGGTCAGGCTTCTGAAAGCACCCCTCCCCGTCCAGCACAGGCATTCCTACTGATGCCTTATAAGAGGACAAAGGGCACTCACTCCTGTTTAGGTCTCAGAGATGGGCACTGCCCCAGGATGGAATGGCTGGTTGGGAGCCTCTGAGGATACAGCTTTCAGTGCCTGCTGCTACCCCCAAGATACCCCCAAGGTTGGCCAAGACTCTTGCTGAACCTCTGTTACATATGGAAACTCCATATGCACATCTGTGAGGCTGAAGAAAAGCATTAGTCTTGAACGCCTGCCTCCAATTAGAGAAGAGAATTTTCCAGACCACAGGATCCTAGAACCCACCATTTGGGGAGAGAAGGCCGTGAAGGCACACGTGCATGTGTGTTTCATGCTTGTGGGTAATATACAATAATAACAAATGGTAAGCATAGTGCATACTAAGTGCCAGGTACTGTGCTGAGCACTTTATAATCAGGGTCTCATTTGGTCCTCACAACAACGTCCCTGGGAGGTGGGTGCTGTTCTTAGCCCCATTTTACAGTTGAGGACACTGAGGTAGACAGAGGGAAAGTGATTTCCCCAGGATGACAGAGACAGGCAGTGTCTGAGGTCACACTGAACTCAGGTCTTCCTGACTCCAGGTCGGCTGCTCTGTGGTGTCCCCTAGCCGTGTGTAGACACACACACACAGAGGAACACGGGTGATGTAAGGCAGGTGCCCACATCGTACCGCAACGGCCACGCACAGACGTGCACACACGTATGTTTACAACCACACGCTTTCATGCACGAGGCACCCTTACACATGCAGACAGAAGCTTTGGACCAGGTCTCACGGCACTTTATTGGGGAGAAGCCCAGTCCCCACCACAGCGCACCAGCCTGCGGATTCCTCATCCTGCTGCGGAGCGGGCAGAGGCCTCAGCCCAGCAGGGAGATGGATCCAATGCGACCAATGCGCAGGGCCACCGAGGGGGCCAGGCTGGGCCGCAGCGAGGACCCTGCGTCCTGAGCTTCCTTGCCTTCCCTGGGGGTAGCCAGGCCTGGGGGTGGGAGGGGTAGGGGTGGGTTCTCTTTCCACGGGCCTCTCAGAGGCTGGCAGTATAAGTGGTCACCCAGAGCTGGCAAAGATGGGGCTGGGATTAAACACCAGCCCTCCTGGCCCCGGGCTCGCAGCGGGCCCCAGGCCTCTACCCCTCTGCTGCTCTCCCTCACCTCCTGGCCAGTGGCTTCCTCTCCCTCCAGCCTGGCTCGGATCCTACCAGGGTCTTGTTGCCCCAGAACAGAGCACGGGTCTTCTGGTCCACACTGCTCAGTCTGGCACTCAAGGCCTCCAGGATCTCCACTTTACTCCCCGGCCCCAACGCAACTTCTCTTTCCCAACTGGGAACACCCAGCCCCCTGAGCTCTTGGCTTTGCCCAGCTGCCCTGGGCTCCTCCCGACTTCCCACTCAGACTCTGCCCTCCAAAGAGCCCTCCCTGTCCCAAACCACAGCCATACCTGAGGGGCTGCCAGGGTGGGGCGGGGCCCCCCGGGGAGGGGTGGGGGGATCAGCAGCAGGTGGCAGATTCCCAGGGAGAAGGGAGGAGTCCCTCAGGCCCACCAAGGCCTCGGTGGCTTCCCGCTGCAGCTGGTGCTCTTCAGAGGCCGATGTCCAGGCCAGGGTGGAGGCCGCTGGGGCCTGAGGAAGAAGGGAGGGAGGCAGAATTTGGCCTGAAACTCCCGCAGTGCCCTGCTCCCCTTCGCCATCCCTGCTCGCCCTCCCTGGCCTCCAGTTCTTTCCCGTTGGCTGTTCCTTCCCCCAAGGCCCCAGTTCTCACCTCCCTGGTCTAATGTAACATCCTGTTTGGGGCAGACAGCGAAGCTTTCTAGCCCAGATTTCCACCAGGGCCCCAGGCCCTCGAGGATTCAGATATTTGGGCCCCCCTGCCTTAAACCCTTAAGAAACCTCAGGTTTCCAGAATTCCGGCCTCCTCTTCCCCCAAGACTGAGGCATCAGCCCTGTCCCTCCCTGCAGGACCCAGGCACCTGGGGCCTCCACCCCTTTCCCCTCTTAGACCTGGGGCTGCAGCAGCAGGGGGTCTGGGAGGCCACAGGGCTGGAGAATCAATGCTGCACATCTGGAACAAGGAAGGAGCAAAGGGAAAGGGAAAGCTCAGAGTCGAGGCTGGCTCCCGGCCCTCGCCCCCCACCCTTTCACATCCAGCTCCCTGCCAAGGCCGGTGAATTGTCCTTTCACAAGGTCTCCCGCGCTGGTCTGATTATCTCGGCTCACGCAGCCACCACCTGGGTTCAGACTCTCACTACCTCTTTTCTGGATTATCACCATGGCCTCCCAACTGGCCTCTCTGCCTCTAGTCTCTCTTTCCAGTTCATGCTTTACCCAACTACTAAAATAACCTTCCTTGTTAACACGTTGCTCCCCTGTTCCAAAACCCTTTGGAGGAAATACACCTCCTCAGTTTATCATTTAATATCCTCCATGTGTCCCCCGGCTCCTCGAAAGCCAGCGCTGTCTCTTCCCTTTCACTCTATTCCCAGTGCTTGGAACACAGTAGATGCTGAATGACTGACTCCACAATCTGTCTCCAACCTAGGCAAATGGGTGGTGCAGCGGTTTTGAAGTCAGGAAGATCTGAGTTCAAATTCAGCCTCAGAGACTTGCTAGCTGTGTGACCCTGGGCTAGTCATGGCTCCCTGTGCCTCCGTTTCCTCATCTACAAAATGGGGATAATAATAGCACCTGCCTCCATCGGATGTTATGAGGACACACAAGATAATGATTATGAGAGCAGTTTCTGAACCTTAAGGCTCTTGATGCATATTGTTATAATCATTATCATCCAGTCTAATTTCACTTTACACCTGAGGAAACTGAGGCCCAAAGGCATGCAGGGACTGAGCAAGGTCACAGCTAGGAAGGGGTAGTCAGGATTCAAACCTGGGCCCTCTGACCACCAATGATTTAGCACTTTCCCCTCTCCGCCGCCGTGGCTGGGGAACGTTGCCTGTCCCTGCACCAGCCAAGGGGGCAGGCCTCGACACTGCCAGCTGCTTCTTTTACTGAGGAAGATGCTAAGACCCCAAACGGAGAACTGCCCAAGATCCCACAGAGAAATAGGGGCAGAACCAAAATGAGAACCCAGGTTTTCCGGCTGTCCGTCACCGCGTGGGACGGGAAGTCCCTCTGCCTCTGCGTCTGGCAATTCCTCCTCCACTAAACATTCACGAAGCCCCTGCCTGTGAGGAGTTCACATGGGGGGGGTGCGGCAGAGACAGGGTGCAGAGGCAGCCAAATATAACCCGCACTGGGGTGTGATGGGGTGAAAGACAGCAGAGACCGGGCCCTGGGAAAACCTGCAGGGGGTCAGGGGGGCTCCTAAAAGAGGGCCCTGAAGGCCACCCTCAGAGAAGACCTAGGCAGAGGAGGAGGAAGCTGTCTCAGTCTGAGGCCCTGCTGGCCGGGAGCACGGTCCAGTAAGTAAGATGTGGGGAGGAGGGAGGGATGGTGGTACCACAATGAGAAGAGCTAACATGTATATTAGCCTCTACTATGTGCCAGGCACTGGGCAGGGCACTTCACAATGATTATCTCATTTGATCCTCACAACAACCCTAGGAAGCAGGTACTATTATTATCCCCATTTTACAGATGAGGAAACTGAGGCAGGCAGAGGTTAAGTGACTTGCCCTGGGTCATACAGCTAGAAAGCATCTGACAGGTTTTGAACTCGGATCTTCTGCCCCCAGGCCTGGTGCTCTGTGTACTGTGGCACCACCAGCTGCCTCCATGGGCTGGTTCCTTCCAGGTCTAGATCCTATGGTCCACACTCATGCACGTTCATGCACACACACGTGCACACACACATGCACACACACAGTCCCTCTTCTTTCCCACCCACAGCTTAGGGCCTCAGGACTCACGGCTGGGCCAGGCTGGAAAGCCCAGAGGATTCCCCTGGCATGGAGGCCATCAGTAGCTGGCACTGTCCTGGGCAGACTGGGAGGGCTCCGTGGTTGGTCAGGTCAAAGCCTGGCGCAGGTGGACAAGGAGAGAAGGGGATGGGGTCAGCATTTGGGTCTCCTCCCGGTGGAACCTGCTCCTTGTGCATCTAGCAGGGTTGGTCACAGCTCCTGCTCTCTCCAGCCCCTCCCTCCCTCTGCTGTCTCACAAGGAAATGGACATGGGGATGGTGGGGTTAGGGCCAGGGACTTCCCCAGTCTGGGTACTGATCCTCCCTCCCAATCACTGGGGAATGGGTACAGGAGGATATGGGCCTCAATCCCCAACCCACCCCGACTCCCACTTTCTCACCGGGGAATGGGTGCAGGGCGATGCCAGGCTCCTGGTATAGCAGATGACACCGAAGTGGGGGGGACACTGACAGGGTGGGGGAAAGCCAGGGCCCAGGACGCCAGGACAGTGGCACGGTGTCCAATGGCCTGCTTAGCAGCAAGGTCCGGGGGGTGCTCTCCTGGAAAGGCAATGGGCAAAGGCAGGTGCAAGGGTGGCTAGGAGTGAATAGGGACCAGACTGGAGCCATGGGGGGAAGGGGTGGATGGTGCCCCAGCTGGGAATATGGAGGAAGGTAGAGAGGAACCAGACTGAGGTACAGAGGACAGGGGAGGCAGTAGCCAGGCTGAGACCCCAGAGGGAGGATGGGAAGTGTCTGAACTGGGGGCCCACCTTACCTTTTCAAGGGGTGTCAGCAGAGTCAGGGGAGTTCCTTGGACGGCCCCCTCAGGCTGGGGGCTCACATTCTCCTTCCCAGCTGGAAATGATAGGAAACATTTGTAGGAACTCCTCTCCTCAGATACCCACTCTCCCCTACCCCATCATTATAATCTCTTACAACCAGTCACAGTATTGCTCATCTGCAGTAGGTGTTTCTGTCATGTCAAGGGGCAGACTTTTTCACCCCCATTTTGGCATAGCGTGAGTGGGAAACGCTGGAGAGGGGAGGGACCCTCTAAAGTCACAGTTAGCCAGTGACAGAGCCGCAGCTGGGACCCCAGGTGTCCGGCCTCCCAAGTCACTCTGCTCCAATGTCATGCTTTACCCAGCGCCCCCAGATTCCTTCTTGCCCCAGCACATGCCTCTCTTCCTCCTTTAGCCAGAGGGAGAACATTTACCAAGTGCCCGTGGGTGGGCAGGCCCCCACTTTCCATGGTTGGAAATCTCCAGGGGGGCTCCCCCAGTTCTCAGGAAGCCCCGGCTCAGCTGTTTTTTCAGTTGGGCCTCCTGCTGTCTCCGAAGAGCCACTTGGGCAGCCATGACACGCCTTTGTTCCCTGAAAGAGAAAGGGTCAAAGGTCAGTGGTGATATAGGGCTTAAGATTGAAAGGCATTCTTTAGTGTGGTCAGCTACAGTAGGATTCTGGGATTTGGAGTCAGATGACTTGTGTTCAAATTCCTGTTCTGCCACTTACTACCTGTATAATTGTCACTGAGCCTCTTTGGGCCTCGGTTTCCCCTATCTGTAAGATGAGAGGGCTGGGAACAGATGCTCTCTCGGTTCTAACTGCTACAATCTGTTGATCCTAAGACTTGGGATAAAAGCTGAAGTGATTTAATAGCGAGGGGACAAAAGGCTGATGCCCTCAGGGAAGGCTGTGCCCCCCCTTAGGACCCATATACAGGGGCAACAGGCAAAAAGGGAGCGCTTAGGGCATTAGCTCCCCCCAGGGATGAGAACACTCTTGGGACACTCACAAGACGAGGATGCATTTATGACATTCACAGTCCTGGAAGAGGCACAGGTGCTTGTGGCCCTTGAGAGCAGCAGTGATGCCATGGTTGCGGCAACGGGAACAGGTTGGGGCACGGCTCGCGGGCTGGCCGGTGGGGGGTGTGGCCCCATCTCCAGTGGTAGAGTCTGAAGGGCAATTCTGGACACTAGGTGCCCCATCTGCCTCCATGGAGCTGGGAGAAGATGAGGGAGTGAGAACAGAGGCCAAACCAGAAGGATCCCAGCCCAGCCATTCACTGAGCCCTGGGGGGGGGGTCACAAGGACAGTGTCCCCAGCCACTGCCCCCATCCAGCCTGCCCTCTTTTTGCCTTAGACACTCGTACTCTCTCTACATATACCTCCTTTCCTGTATCTCCCCTTTCTTCAATCATGTTCAATATGTACCCCCTACCCAGGTATTTATAATTAACCAAATAGTAGAATAAAATTATATCAGGATGGAATAATTATAACAACCACATGGAAACAGTATGACATATGGTATACATAACATTAATTCATTATAATTATAATAAAATAACATAATTTCAAATACATTTTTGGGCTTAGAGCTATACTTTCCTTGATGTAGGAAACTCCCAGTATGGAAACCCCCTTCACTGATACAGGTGGCAACTCATAGTCTTAGCGAGTTACCCGAGGCCCTGATAGGCTGGGGGTGGGAGGGGGAGGGAGTAGTCTCAGTTGGTCCCTAAGTGACTTATCTGTTGTTACACACCTAGTGACTGTGTATGTTCCTGACTCCCAGTCTGGCCTTCAATCCATGACACTGTGTGGCTGATATGTTTGTAATAGTTATTATTATAATATAATGATTGGTACATTTTTGTTGTTGCTTTGGACGGGACCTGTCATTTCCCAAGTATAGAAAGACTTCCACGTCAATATTGGTCAGCACCTGCTCAACAACTAATTATTCCAGACACTTATTAGCTCTGCGACTCTGGGCAAATCACTTAACCTCTGTCTGCCTCAGTTTTCTTATCTGTACAATGGGGATAATAATAGCATCTACCTCCTAGGGTTGTTGAGAAGATGAGATAATATTTGTAAAGTATCATATAAATGATATAATTATTATTTCTAGTGAGTTGCCTGCACTGAGGAGTCATGCCCCGAATCACGTTGCCTGTGTGTGTGTGTGTGTGTGTGTGTGTGTGTGTGTGTGTGTGTGAGAGTGTGGTGCCATGGCCCTAGAACCCAGGTCTTCCTGGCTCCAAGGCTGACTTCTCTATCCACTATATCATACTGCCTCTTGATTGGTATTACCTGCGATATGATTTAGTTTTCTAAATCCTCTCTATACGGGCAGGCTGAATTGGGTGCCTCATTAGGGCCCAGGAGTAGCACAGAGCTGGGGCTAAATGTGCAGCCACCATCCCATGAGCCCCTGAGTTTTCGGAGGCCATGCCAACAGAAACCAAGCTTTGGGAGGGAGCTGTGTTTTACAATCTGATGGAAAAGGCACCGAATATATATTCACGGGACCCAGTGACCTTGATTTAACATCCCTGGGCCTCTGTTCCTCCCTCCCTTTGGGGCTGCAAGGACAACTGAGGAAGGTGGTAAAGGGGCAGGGGATGAAGGATCACACAATTTTCAGACTGACCTGAAACCTTCATTTTACTGTTGCTACTCTGAATGTGACATCTTTGTCCAGTGCTATGAGATACTACTAGAGAGCGAGTCACATAAATGGCGACATCCACACTACAGTCAAAAGCAGAAGACGTGAGGAAGGTGTGGCTAAATGGAAAGGCTCTCACAGGTTCTCTCAGTGAGTCGGACACAGCAACTAATTTTATTGTGCACCAAAAGGCACCAAGAAACACTGTGTGAGCTGCCATCTCACTCAGGGCCAGCCCAAGCCAAAGACCATTCCAAAGATAGCTGTAGCATATGTGTTAACACAGGTTGAAGAGAATGAAAAAGTAGAGACAAAATGATAGAAACCACGATCCTGACCAAGTCCTCCAATTCAAGTATATGCTGGAGACCCTCACGTGAGGGGGGCGTGAGGAGAGAGGGCAAACCCCACGCTGGACCACGCTGAGGTGTAAAAGCAACCAAAGGCTTGCAGACTACCATCGTGGCTGAATAGCATGAATATTTTCTCTAAGGAGACAGTTGGAAGACAGGTCAGAGACCACAAAATATCATAAAAAACTAAAATAATTACAGCTGGAGAGCAAATGACTGCTTATTTACATGGAGTCATTAAAAACCAGTCAGACATCAATCAGCTGAAGCAAAGGTCAAAATCAACACCAAATTAAAAGAAAGGCTGAAGATATGAAGACACTGTTTGCAATTACAATAGCTCCAACCTAACTTATTTGAATGAACTACTTTTACTGAAAAATAGGAAATGGATAAAGGTAAAGTTAGTGATTTTGCTTATCACCATTCCTTATAAAAGTTTAATGAAATAAACAGTGACCACAAAATGGGGGCCAAAAGAGCCCAGAAAACACCACAGCAATTAAACATTTGCTCTCTTTGCCACAAACTTTAGGGAACAAGCTCATCTGCAAAACATGGAGAAGAATGGGGGGAAAAAGCCATCATAGGTGTGGGTAGAAGCAAATTATGCACAGTCTCACCTCCCCAAACCAGTGAGAGGCAGTGAAGGGGAACATGAATCTTCAGAAAGCCAAGCCAGATGGTCCCAAGAGCATTTGGAGATAAAAATGGGAGGAGAAGAAATGGAAGCAAAATGGAGAAAACGTCAGCACTCCTTTAGGGGTCCATTCCCATCTCTGATAGCAGTGGCCTCACCACACTGGGCTTTGTTACCAGATGAGCTCTATGAGGAGGCAGAAATGGTATCTCAGAAGCAGAAGGCAGAAAAAGAGGCTGGACAGGACTAAGTACACAGAGAAGAAATCTGTGCTGAAGGTAACACAATTTTGTAAGCGCTGAAAGGATTGATTTTTGAGATCTCAAAGAAGGGAAGACATCAAACAATTGGAAAAAAAAATCTCAAATGGTATTATTACCCAAAAAGTCGAATGAGAAGGCATCAGCGACTACTGACCCATGTGCCTACTTTCTCATCTCTATAAAATCTTCATGAGAATGAACTTCATGTATTGAGGGCATTCTTGATGAAAATCTGACAAGGAAAAAGGCAGGCTTTCACAGTCAATTTTCTATAGCAGACCACATCTTTACAGCTACACAATTGACCGAAAGACAGATATTACAAGGTCTCTGTGTGTTTACTGTTTGTTGATTATAAAAAGGCATTTGACTTGGTAGTGCAAAACTGCCTTAAAGGCTCTCTTCCAACAAGTATAAGACTCCCATGCATATGTTAAAGTCTTACACCGTACTTTAATAGCCAGCCACAGGAATAACTTTATTCAAACTAATCATGAGTGATCAATATCAACTAATCCATAAAAGAGTGTGACCTCTGCCCTCTAGGGGTGTTTGCCTCTATCTCGGAGCCTACCCAGCTAGGCCTCTAAATAGAAGAGTAATCTCTCAGAGAGGATGAGCCCCTGCAGCTGCTCCCGTCATTTGGCAATGACCTTGTTCTGATTGCATTAGGCCCCCCCCCATCGAATTAATAAGATCCAGGCATACTCAAAAGAGATTGCCCTCTCCATCCACAAAGGAAAAAATCAGACAAACAAGTGCGTGAAGAATTTCTACCGCACAGACCACGGCACGCAATTGTAGGGGCAGGCCACTGGGCCTCTCGGTATATTTCTCTCGGACAGGCACTGAAGAAGGATAATAAACCGGGCTGGGCACGGACAGGAGGAAGAGTGCGGGCATTGAAGCCACTGGATCGTGCTCAATGATCCGAAACTGTACCCTGACACAAAAAGCCATCTGTCTAAACACCAGGATGCTCTCGGTTGTGCTATCTGGCCGTGAATCCTGAAAGGCCACAAGCCTCATAGAGTAGGGATCCTGAGTGGCCTAAACGGTGCAGCTGCGTGGTGGGAGAAAGGTGGGCTGGTCATGCAGCAGGGGAAAGATACCAGATGGACAGCCGGGCGGTGCCCTGGGATCTGGAGAACAGAAGACCCAGAGAAAGGCCTCTGGGGCCTGGGGATATCCTAGGCAGCACAATGAAAACCAGAACTGGCCAGTACACAGGCTTTTGAGGCCGGCAAAGTGCTTTCCCAATGTTACCTCCTTTAACAGGGGCAAGAAATCCCAGAGGCTAAGGAACAGCTGGGTTTTGATCTGCGCGGGGAGGGGGCACTCATATCTATGCCACCCGCTGAAATGCCGAAGTAGGAAGGTGATGATAAAATGACAATAATGACATTCGCCTCTCTCTACGCAGTTCGGTGAGTGAAGCTCTTCGCAAGCCTCAGGTGTCAGAGGAACGCGACACTGGGGCGGCCGGCCGCCCTTCCCCCACCCTGACCGGCTGCCCGCCAAGCCCCGGCCATCCCTGACTGGGCAGAGCCCAGAGCTGCCCCGCTGCCCCGCCGCCGCCGCCCCGCCGCCCGGCTGTCCGCCTCTGCCTCTCCTCCCTCTCTCCAGGCCTCCCCGATGCTCCCCGCTGTCCTCCCTGTCCCAGGCCCGCAGTCTCCCCAGCCTTTGTGACCTTGGACCTTTACCCTCTGAAGAACGCCCCGGGGGGCAGCTAGGCGGCGCAGTGGGTGGAGCAGCGGCCCTGACGTCAGGAGGACCCGAGTTCAAATCCGGCCTCAGACCAGACACTTGACACGTACTACCTGTGTGACCTTGGGCAAGTCACTTAATCCTGACTGACTTAAAAAAAAAAAAAAAAGAATGAGCCAGGATCCCCGAAGAGCTTTGTGTACGCCGGCCACGGCTTCATTGCACCCGAAAACCTCTTGGACTACCTGGAAAGCAGCCCCAAGGGGGCAGGCAGGTATAAGGGGGGGGGTCACGGGGGAAAGCGTGGGATGGGGGCGGGGAGGGTCACGTGAAGTGGGGAGCGGAACCAGGAATCACCAGGACAGCAGAAGGGGAATGGGGGACAGGGTCACACTGGTGACGGTGTGGGAAGCACCGGGTGGGGGAGGCATGGGGGAGGGGTGGGATGGAATCACGAGGGGAGGGGCCGAGGGCCAGCGTCCACGCGGGGCGTGGCCGGGTCAGTTACCTCAGCCTGCGAGGAAACGGGCTCGAGGGGGACGTGGAGCCGAGAGCCAGGGGGCGGGCCATCGCTTCCGCCGGTCGTCTTCCTTCCGAAGCCTCCACCAATCGCCTCCGAGCTCTGCCACTGACCAATGGGACATCGAGTCGACCTTCCCGCTCTCCAGCTCTCAGCCAATGGGGCATCGAGAGCCGAGTTCGAACCAGGCTCACCCCGCCCGGGGGGAGGAGAAGGGGTGGAGAGGAGCTACCATTTATAAAGCAAAATGGCCGAGGATTTTACAAATAACGATCTGTTTGTCCTCAAGACGACCCCGGCAGGCAGGCAGGCGCTAGCATTAGCCGCATTTCACAATGAGGAAACTGAGGCACAGAGTGAAGTGACTTGCGAGGGGGGGTGGGGCGGGGGTCACACAGCCAGTCAATGTCTGAAGAATGACGAACTTGAACAAGGACTTGAACTTGGGATCTTTCTGCCCCCCCCAATCCCACGCTCCGACCATCCTGCCGCCTAGCCCCCTCTTCTAGGATACTCCAATCATATAACCATCGTGATGTAGTGTAGTATCACCACCCAGTGACACATTAGTGAATACATTAATTGCGTTTATTGATAATGTAATACATTATATTGATTATAATACTCACTAGGACTCATGATAACTAATAATGAGAACAGTCCCCCCCCTAGTCTGTCCCTTCTCCCCTCCCCCACTTCTGCCCTCTTGGGCAGGCAGGACCTGGCTCTTGGGGGGGGGGTCTGGCACGTGGCCACCCCCAGGCTTGGTCAGCAGGATGTCAGGCTGGGCACCACCCGGTGGGATCTCCCTCGGAGAGCCCGGCCAAAGCTCCTAGAGGGTCTGCAGAAGGGGAGGGGCCAGCTTGCATTGACCTGGCCACAGAGCAGTGACCAGAGGGCCAGCCTCTGCCTGCTTGGCTAGGCGGGTCCTCAGAAGGGACGCTTTCTCCTGTTGTCCAGACTGCCCTTGGAGGCTGGACGCTGCTAGAGCAGGGACTGGCCTCTTTTTCTATTTCTAGTATTCTGTTCTTGGGGGCAGGGGTCAGGGGTCTTAGGGTAGATGGAAGACCCCCACCCCCACCTCAGAACCCAGGGCCAGCTCCACATGGCAAGGAGGCAGAGATATTCCCCACTGGAAAATGACTGTGTGCAGTGAGACGTTAGCACAGTATGTCTGTCTGCAAGCTAAGATATCCCCCTCAGTTCATCCTCCCAGCAGCAAAGGGCTGGGCCTCTCTGGACAAACCATTCGGCCTTTCTGAGCCTCTGTCTCCTCCCCCTGGACTGTAAGCTCCCTGAGGACAGAGACTGTCTTTTGCCTCCTTCTGTATCCCCGGTGCTTAGCACCCAGTAGGTGCTTCATAAATGTTCCTTAATTGAGCACCAAAAAATCAATAATTGTGCTGCGTGGCATACCTATGCACATATATGTGTATGTGCACGTATGCATATCTACATATATGCATAAATACGTATATAGTATATATTGCACATCCATCTCTAGACGGTTAGCTTATCCTACCTCGAAGACTGATGTTTTTATTAAATATTTGAAGACAGTTGTCGCGCCCCTCATCCCGTCTGCTCCAGGAGAGGCCTAGGAACCGGGCACATGATTTCACCGGCACACAACCCTCCTACTACCCAGGCTGTTGGGCACCTTCTCTGCACCACGTTAGGTGACACATTCAGGGTCACACAGGTAGTATTAGACAAAGGCCAGTTTTTTGACCCCAAGACCGGCTCTCCATGCACCCCAAGCACCCTGCCGCAGGGGCTACAAAGAGGAAAGTACAGCCACCTGTGCTCTCCGGGAGCCCCCGTTCTGGAAGGGAAAGACAGCACTGAGAAGGGGTTAAGCTTCAGGGCAGATGGAAGGGTGCCGTGGCCCTTGGAGGATACATGCTGAAAAGAGCATATCCGCTTCTGATGCTGGGCCATTTGTGTGTCGGGGCCGAGGGCTTTGGCCAAAAGAATTTCTTTTTAGGGCTTCAGCGCTGTGGCTGCATGGGGAAGTAGGGGCATTTAGGGCTTCTAAATTCTAACTTCAGGGGCGGGTCCCACGTCCCTAGGGGTTATTCTCAGTTGGGGAGGCTAGATTGGAAGCGGTGCTGATGGTCCGGGGTGAATAGAAATGAAAGGTTTTCTTAGGGCCCCATAGCTGAGAGAGGAAGAGACAGAGACTCAGAGACAGAGAGAGGGAGGGAGGGAGGAGAAAGAAGGCAAAAGGGAAGGACACAGAAAGAGGGAGGGACGGAGGGGGAGAGAGATACAGACAGACAGAGACAGAGAGAGAGAATCAGAGTGACAGACAGGAAGAAACAGGCAGAGACAGAGAGAGAAGAGAGAGGGAGGAGGGACAGAAAGGAGAGAGACACACACAGAGACAGAAAGAGGGAGAGATACAAAGACAGAGAGGCAGACAGACAGAGGAGAGACAGAGAGGCCAGGCAAGATAGCAGAAGGAAGGGACCCTCATGGGAGGAATATCTGTTGATGGATACCCTGGAAACCCTCTCCAGGGGGTGGTGAAGAGCCTTGAGGTTGTTCCCACGGGAGGATCGTTAGAAGAAAGTGGGGTGCCATGCCCACCGCAGACAAGCCTGGGAATGTCAAAGGAGCTGTTCTCCAGGTCTCCAGGGTCTGTCCCCGGAAGAGAGATTCTGCTTCTTCTCCTTGGCCCAGAAACAGAAGCAGGAGTCACGGGGAGAGGGCTGGGGGGGAGCTGCGAGGATTAGGACGGGTGGGCTGACCCCACTGACGCTTGGACGCCGTCCAGCTTCCAACTTGCTGTGACGACCACATTTCTCAGTCACTGACAGTGAGATACCTTTCCTGGGTCACTCAGACTTCCAGAGGGCTGGAGGCCCCCCAGAGCTAGGGCCAGGGCTCTGCTGCTCCGGGGCTGGGCTGGGGCTTCTTCTCATCTCATTCATCTTAGGGGAGGGGTGCACAATCCAGACTGGGGTCACTAGGCGGGGGAGGAATACAGAGGAGGTGCCAATGCAGCAGGTCCCCAAAGGGCCCCACCCTCAAGCCAGTCAGTCAATGCTAATCTCAGTAGCTGAGAGGTCCCCTGGGGTCCTAGAGGTAGAGCTAGAAAGACCCTTGTGGGGGGCCCCCCCATAAAGCTGAAGTGTTTAAGGTCACACATGCAGATTTTCAACCCAGGCCCTCTGACCCTCTTCTATTGTATCATACTACCCCTAAGAAAGTGGAATGTCAGGGCTGGGCAGGGGGATGGGGGTAGCCTTAGAAGAGGCAATGTCAGGGCTGGGAGGAGGCTTAGAACAGGGAATGTCAAGGCTGGGAGGGGCCTTAGAACAGGGAATGTCAGAGCTGGGAGGGGTCTTAGAACAGGGAATGACAGAGCTGGGAGGGGCCTTAGAACAGGGAATGTCAGAGCTGGGACGACCCTTAGAATAGAGAATGTCAGGGCTGGGAGGGGCTTTAGAACAGGGAATGTCAGAGCTGGGAGGGGCCTTAGAACAGGTAATGTCAGCGCTGGGAGGGGCCTTAGAACGGGAACACTGAAGGGGGGATGTGTGAGGGTGATGTCACTGAATGAAGGGAAGGGGGATGCTGGGTGAATCCAGTATGGAGAACTGGAGGCGGGGAGAGCTACCATCTGACAAGACATACTCAGTGCATTTGGGTGTATCTTTGGCCCCTCTCCCTCCTGCTGCCTCCCCCTTGGCCTCCGGCAGCAGCACAGGTTCAATAAAGGGGTGCTTATCCTCCAGCTGATCCCCCCTCCTGCCCTCCCCACCTCCACCTTCCAGACCCAGGACTCAGTTGCTGGGCTTAGCAGGTCACAGGAGATTCCAGAGACATTAACGTTTAAGGTCTTGATCACAGGGAAATAAAATAGAGTCATGGAGAAGTCGAGGCCATAGGCCCAGGAGGTGGAGGGTCCTGAGGAGGCCTGAGGGAGTGAGTATCATCAGGGTAGAGGGAGATTTCCCCAAGGGCCAGGAGCAGCCCTCCCCTCACCCCTGCTTGGAAGGAGGAAGGCAGTGGGAGTACCTTTGGCATTCGGGAGTTCTGTCTAGCCACTCTCTGCCACAGCTGGGGGCCCAACATCCCTTCCAGAAGGCCACAGCTCGTAGGTGAATTGGATGGCCAGTGGAACCAGGATGGTCAGAGAGACAGACAGACACATAGACAGAGACGGAGAGAGACAGAGATGGGAGACAGAGAGAACTGAGACAGACAAAGAGAGGCAGAGACAGAGATGAGGAGAGAGACAGAGACAGAGAGATGAGAGGGAGAAGGAGAGGGAGACAGAAAGATAGAGACAGACAGACAGAAACAGAGACAGAAGGAGAGACACAGACAGAGAAACAGAGAGTGAGAGAGGAAGATAGAGACAGACACAGAGAAATACAGAGAGTCAAAGAGAGAGAAAGGCAAGGAGAGGGAGAGAGAAGGAAAATTGAAGAGACACCAAAAAAGAGAGAAAGGGAAAGAGAGATAATAAGAGAAAGATAGAGACAGGGAAAGAGAGGCAAGTAGAGGGTCAAAGAGAGAAAGGAAGGGAGAGACGGAGGGAAGAAGAGAAAGAAAGAGAAAAGGAGACAGAGAAGAGGCACAGAGAGAAAGGACACATTTTTTATTTTTGGCTAGGCAGTGGGGTGAAGTGACTTGCCCAGGGTCACACAGCTTTTAAACTAGTGTCAAGCATCTGAGGCCAGATTTGAACTCAGGTCTTCCTGAATCCAGGACTGGTACTCTATCCACTACACCACCTAGCTGCCCCAAGAGAACACATTCTTGATCCACAACTAGAGACCCAGGTGTCCTGATCTCCCACTCCCTTTCCCCCAAACTCAACTCAAGGCTCAATTGCCTTGGGCCTTTGGGCACACAGATGCACACCTCCGAGCCGACCCCTGCCTCCGTAGGACCCCGGCGATGAATGTCACTCCATGGAGACTGAAGTTTCCGTTGTAACAATGCATGGATCCTTCTGGATCCAAGGGGAAGGAATTCTGCTCCAGCAAGATCTCAGACCCAAACATGTTGGGCACTGAGGACCCCTGGGGGAGGG